ATATAACAAACACAAAATTCAAGAGACCCAAGATCCGTCCTGCGTTGCAAATCTTTTATAGCTTCAAGATATCGGTCTTTCGTCCATCATTAATTAAAACAAACGGTTAGTTTTCTTAAAGCAACGCCTGAAAACTAATACAAATGAAAAGGGTTTAGTTTCGTACACAGCAGCATGGAACCACGTTTTAAGACATTGCTAAGAGCGAATTTATACATTATTAGACAATTTTTAAATGTGCGGTGAGGTCAGGCTTACTCATTGGTCTGACAGGCCGAATTAAGCACGGCTCCATGTATATTTTGAAATTACAGCAAACGGCAATAAACTCATGTAAATTGTGGCGAATTAAGTGAATAGTTAAATCAATGAGAAATAAACATTATTTGTGAAGATTTATTTATGCTGTACATATTCCAAGGATGGCAGGTGACGTAAATATTTTTTTAAATAATTGAAGAAGATACTGGGGAGGGAAGAGAAATTACAGGTAAGCACGGAAGTAAAAAAGATACTGATACAGGCTTGCCAAAAACGATATAACTCGCTGTCATACAATTTAGAGGCTAGAGAATAGAAAGTAAAAAGATACTCGAAATCCTGCATGGAAATTTTGAGCCATAACTCAGTGCATAGGCTTAGGAATCACATGGCATGCGAAAAAAGAGCAGAGTAAGGATGAAAGAAAACAGAGGTCAACTACCTCGGTCGAATGACTTTATGCTAACTGGGAATGCTGGCGCAGTCGACGCAACTCTTTTTCTTTGCGCCGACTAACCAAAGGGTGAAAGAAAGAAGAAGCGGCTTGCTCATCCTCTGGCCAGAATGTGAATCGACCTAGACGACCCAGCTGAAATGACCGAAGTACAAAGACTGCAGCAGAGTGCATGTCTGCCTTAGGTAAGCAAATGGGGTTTATCTTTGTTAGAGCAGATGCCAAAGTGCTTTCAGCAGATTCCGCTGCCGCAGCTTGTCGCAGCTGATCAGCCATATTGGTTAGGCCAGTAAATCCTGATGAACACAAAAAAGAGGATTCCGCTTCCCGAGGCTGCCATCCTTGACGCTTCGGTCGACACATCGAAGTATTGGAGTTGGGCAAGAGAAGATGATGAGTTAGGCAGACAGAAGCAAGGAAGTAACGCACGTCGTCAGTGGGCCCCGGAAGTCCGAGAGCAGCTACATAAGCAAAATTTCGGCGCCGATTCATGCAAAATAGAAGATAGTCAACAAGGATCTCTGCGAAAGTAAAACATGGAGAAAAGGCAAAATAAAAAGTATCGAAGTCAAGATTGGAATAATAAACTAAATAACTTAACCGATAAATTTAATATAGCAAGGGAACAAAGATTAAAACCAAAGAAATGATTGTGTAAAAGGTAGATTAGGTCCAGTCAGGTTATTTGAATTTCTAAATATAATCTTGATTAAAGCCAATAGATCTAGGAAAAAGAAAAAATGCAACTAATGACCGAGACCAATTGGAATCGATCCAATGCAAATATAAGTTGACGAACGCAAGCTGATTTTTTATATTTTAGCAATAGATCAAGAAAATTTTTAAAAAAATGAATAAATGGCCCTCAAGAGTTGGGGAAGTGGTATAGGTTTAAACTGGCTACATATGAGTAAATAATACAACGGATGGCACCTGCGAATGTAGTGGGTGTTAATGTTGCCACGGTATTCACGACCCAATATGGAATCGCGTCGTTAGCGCTAAGGCGCAAGCGAAGTCGAAACTGAAGTCAATCTTGAATGATAATACTTTTTGAGAAGCGAAGCTAAGCGAAATTTAACGGCATCTTAAGGCCAACTCATACAATTATAAGAAAAGGCAAATATCATTTCTTCATTAACTTATGCAGCCTAGGATGAATACCGATTTTATTCAAGAATTACTGGTAGTTTCGAAACATTCAATACGAATAAAAGTAATGTAATCAATTGTAATAACAAATACAAAGTGGCCTAATTGACGATCCAACTAAAAAAATATGATAGTAGAGGCTTGATTGCTTTGAAAATGACGTCCTCCCAGTGATCCAGTGACACCAGCAAAAATAGCATGGTGGTAACGTGTCAAAATTGTCGACTCCCATCGTGGGCGCAGAGATCCAGGCGAGGTTGAGGCTGCAGTCCACCCTAGATGATAATAGCTTTGCGGGGCTTTCTCATGGCATTGTGAAAAAAATTAAACTAGCAGTCCTTCATTACTTTGTGACCTAGGGTGAGTACAGCTCTTATACAACAACCTCCTGCATCAGCGCAATAATGGGTTAGTGGCTAAATTTGACTAATAAAATTGAACTAATCTAGAAGCATGCGGTATGATTTCGCCAAATTAATGTACTT